AACTGAGATAATGTTCAGGTTGTTTGATCGTGCAATGATGTCTGTGGTGATAATATTCTCTTTTTCAAAAGTAATGTTATTCATTTTAATAATTACCCAAATCCACTCGTTGAAATTCAATGATTAAAGTATAGTTATGCAATTTATTAAAATTACCAGTCTATTTTTTCCTATGACTATTGATCAAAAATCAAAATTATAAAGAAAGCAGATCAACTRTTTTGATTATGTTGTTCATTCATGAAGAATTACCTACTTTACTGAAATTTTCATGGGTTCATATTTCATATTTAATTTTCTAAAATTATTCATTAGCATTTACTCTTTTAAGTGTTTTTAAACCTATTTGGTCCTCAAAGGAATTTATAATCTCGTGATATATTGTTTTWTTCTAAAATAGTAAATAATAACATTTTACTTTATGAAATTTATATTTTTGAAAACTAAGTAGGTAATAGGTTAAAATTGAGATACATTATAATATAAAGAGTGTAATGTTTTAATTCTAAATGTATTATTGATCTTTTTTTTTCTATTACTTGATTTTTATTTCTATAATCTGTTATATAAATTTTGAACAATAACTGAAATTGATGAATTTGATAATTATGGYGTGAAGGACAGATTAAAGATACCTTCCAGTGCAGTGGCGGATTAACCTTCTCGGTGCCCATAGGCACACTCTACCACCCCCCCTTTTTAATACTTTCCAAAAATCGTAATTTGAATATGCTGACATGAATAGTGATATAGCCATCTCGTGAGTGAGAAATGGTTCAGAGGTACTATGGTTGAATAATAATTAATTTACACTTTATTTCAAATATTGTATTACATAATATAAATCTTACAAGTTGCAATCAATAATTTCGTAAAACGTAGAACATTCAAACATTTTCGCCAATAAWTTTATTTATATTTACTTGCGGAATCACCAACATCGATCAGTTTATATTAAATCGATGTTAATTTTGCCTTATTCTTATTTAGCGGCTGCAAATTTCTCATGCGTATTGTGTAATAATGCATTATAACAAGAAACAAGTAGCCATTAATTTCAAGCCTAATGGGTAATCCACCACTGTTCCAAGGCACTTTTACAGTTAAAAAAAAAAATGAGGAAAAATGTTAAACAACAATGTTAGGAGATATTAGAAGAGGAAAGATAAATAATTTAGTGGATAATTTGATATGATGGGAATTGGGAAGTAAGGAGAGGACGGATAAGGCAAAAACGAACATTTAGGGCTAAGAGCTTGTTTTACGTAGATGTGGAGCCCAGGTRATACGTTGATTGATGGTGATGCCTAGTTAGTAAATGCATGGTACAACATGTAAAATGTGTTCATTAAGGATGATAGGTGCGCATTTTTGATATTATTGATCTTAAAACTGAATTTTGTAACTTAGTTTAAAAGACTTAAGTTTTTTGTTTAATATTTTAAAAAGCTTATAAATGGTTATACATATTATATTAGGTTTATTTTGTATATTATATTTTGTCCCATTTAGATATGGCCTATGGGTTATGGCTTGAATACTTATGTATATAAACGGAAGCAAAAAAAATGTCCAATAAATAATAGTAAGTTAAAGTTTAAAATAAATATTTTCCTATATAATAATATGTTTGTTATTGAATCRTGTAATATTTTTTAACAGATGATTTTGATACATTACCAGAAGAAATAGTATTAAATATATTTAAAATGATGGATAAGCGCACATTAATAAAATGTTCACTTGTATGCCATCAATGGCGACGTATTGCATATGATAAATCTTTATGGCAACATTTAAACATCCCTTCTCGTCGTATGAGCATTTCGACTTTGGATAATCTTCTTTCTCGTAATATCAAATATTTTTCTGCTTCTCATTCAAATGTGAGTAAATAACCTATTTTTTTACTTTTATTATAATTACTAATGTCTTTCAACTGTATTTCAGTTCTATGCTATTACAAACCAGTGTTTATATAAAACACAATTTCCTGAGTTAMAATACTTAGATTTAAGTTCTGTATTTATGCATCACAATAGTAAGTATTTATATTTATGACAAATTACTGAAATTAAATATACCTATATAGATATTTTTATTTTTTTAAGGTTTACGTTCATTATTAAGGCAATGTTTTAATCTGATAAAATTGAGTTTGGAAAATTGTTCTGTAGATTCTTTATGCTGTCAGTACATTGGACGCAACACCAATTTAAAAGTACTTAATTTAGCTTCAACTGTTGGTCTTGACCGCAATGGTTTGGAACACATAATCTCGCTTCAAAAGTAAATATATTTTAAGTTTTATGGCTAGGT